CCGCCGCCCCGCCCCCGCCCGGCCTTGTGCTTCTCCATAGATTTCGCCTAAGCGAGCGCGACGCCGCACCTTCCAGCTTGCATCTCTCTGGCCCGCGGCTTCCAGCTACCATCTCTTGGTTCGCGGCCCCACGCACTAGGCACGTCTCACTGGAGTACCTCGGGACCCTAAAGAAAGAGCAGTGCTCTAGTGCCAGGGCGGCCCCTCAAGGCCCGGCTCCCATCATCTGACCGAGCTGTTCCCAGGGGGCCCTTTCGAGCCAGACTCAGGTCTTGGAGAAGCGCAAGGGGCGCAGAGGGCTCGGAATAAAGGACACCCCCTAAGTGCTCCCGTCCACTCGGCGCCCCTGCTCCGTGGCCCCTGCGAGCGCGGGGCGTTTAGGAAAGGGTGGAAAAGCGGATCTGTGGAGTCGGGGTTCAGAGCCGTACTGCGCGTGCGCCGCGTTGCCTGCTGCGGGAGGCGGCGGTCCCCGACTTTGCGTGGCGCGGCGCTGTGACTCCTGATTGTCCTGCTCCGCGAGGCGAGGGCGCTGGGCGTGGCCCTCGGAGGCCGCTTGGCGGGACCCATGAGACCGCCGCATCTGTGCACTGTGTAAAGGCTTTTCGGAGAGACCACCGCGGGCCGGTCCCTACCGTCCGGAACTCCTGCGGAGAACCGAACCTGCGCGTGGGGCCGGGCTGTGGGACTGCGAGGCGGCGGAGAGGTGAGTTCCGCAGATCTGGGAGTGGGGCGGCGGGAAGGGAGCCCCTGCGGCCCGTGGTCTGCGGGTCGGGAGGCTGTAGAGAAGAGATGTTGCTGGTGAGTCCGTCTCCAGCGCCCTCTCGCCCAGGAGAGCTGGGCTTCCCAGCCCGGGATGCCCAAATGGGCTTCGGGGGTCCAACAAAAGACTTTGAGGCTGTACTTTTCATCCTGTATTCAAAGAAGGTACTGACGTGTTTAAAAACCTCGAGACGGAAGCACAGCTTTGTGTCCTTTTTTTCTGTTCTAGTCTCCGTGCTATCCTAGGCCTTAGGCTTTCTTTTTTCGTCCAACCCACGCTGATCTTCAGAAGAGATCCGCTGACCAGTCCGCGATCGCCCTCAGCATCCTCCCGGAGGAAGACAGGGAGCCTCTTGGAGTTACCCCCTTGCTTGTCCCCACCCACCCGGAGCATCGCCTCAACTCTTGGGAATGATTTTTAGTGGTTTTCTTTTGCCTCTTAAGTGAATTTTTTAAACTTCGGGCCATCAAATCGGGCGTGGTGGTGTATCTCTGTAATAATCAGCACTCCAGAGGCTGAGGCAGAAGGATCAGACCTCAAGTTCATGGCCAACCTGGGCTATAGTGATTTCAAGGCCAATCCACTGCAGGGTGAGAACTTAACCTCAAAACAAAAGAAGCTAAAAACTTTGGGCCTGAAGATTCCTTAAGTAATCTAGTCCTAGGCTACTTAGCTCCTGGTAATGAGTGCTTGTGAGTTTAACCTACATTTGCTTTTTTCCTCATTCAGCTTGCATAGTAGATATTACTGGCTTTTCAGATGAGATCGTGAATGTGAGCACCTGGCTCAAGGAAAAACAGCCTTGCAAGTAGTAGGTTTTGGTTGCCCCATGTTTTGTTGCTTTTAGTACAGAACCCAACCCGTGGATCTTTTGCTGGTTACATGAGTTTGGCCACTATCAACCATCTATTACTTGTGCTGGACATCTGCTGGATCCTGAGCCATCTTTCTCTCCAGTGATCCGACTATACCACTCTCTTCTTAACAGACTTCTCAAGCCCCACCTGGATTCCTAAATCCTCCTTGGGTAGTGTGAGTGGGAAATAGTAATAGTTGTGGTAAAATTTTAACAGGTTTATAGCAACATAGGAACAATATAGTGAGTTTTCATGAAGTTTAATCTGTTTAAAGAACTATTATGCAGTCATTTAAGAGAAAATACACTGATTCACAAAAAGAAAAACTGGTAAAATTGAATACCTTTGAGGAATGGGATAGGAGAAAGGAGAGGCTTTAATGTGTGTGTGTGTGTGTGTGTGTGTGTGTGTGTGTGTGTGTGTATTTTATATATATTATATATATATAAGAATATCAGTTTAAGAAAAAATTTTAAATATGAATTCTGAGATTATTTTTATTTTTTGGTGTTTAAAGGTTCTTTATGAAGTGGTGATGGGGTTAGTTTAGGTTTGGTTTGGTTTTAAATCATTGTTCTCAACACACTAAGAAGTTGCAGTGTGGCTGTAACCATATGTATCTCTCTTGTCTCTGAATTACTGTTGATTTTACAGTACTGATTACAGTCTCTGGGCACTCACTGTTCCTCACTTGTGTTTGTTTTAGCAATGCAAGGAGAAATCTTAGAACTCTGTATCTTCGCAGTACCTAGCACCACACCAAGTGGTGCTCTGTAAACCTTGATTATTTGATTAGTCTTTACTTTTCAGCCTGAAGTTTCTTAGTTCAAATTGTTTTAGAAGTGGATCAAGAATTTTTTCCCTTCTTTTCTAGGAAGGTGCAATGGCAAGGAATTTATCTGTAATCTTGATCCTGACCTTTGCTCTGTTGGTCACATATCCCCTTCATGAACTAGAATCAGCTACTGCTTTCTCTCAGCCCAATGAGAAAATTAATCCGAATTGGGAATCTGGAATTAATGTTGACACAGCAGTGACCTCTCGGCAGCATCATCTGCAGCAGCTTTTCTACCGCTATGGAGAGAACAATTCCTTGTCAATTGAAGGATTCAGAAAATTGCTTCAGAATATAGGCATAGAGAAGATTAAAAGAGTCCATACCCACCATGACCATGAGCATCACTCTGACCATGATCGTCACACTCATCATAATCATGCTGCTTCTGGTAAAAATAATCGGAAAGCTCTTTGCCCAGACCATGACTCTGATGGTTCAGGTAAAGATCGAAGAAACAGCCAGGGGAAAGGATCTCACCGCCTGCAACATGCCAGTGGTAGAAAGAATGGCAAGGAGGTTGTCAGTGCTGGTGAAGTCACCTCAACCATGTATAACACTGTCTCTGAAGGAACTCACTTTCTAGAGACAATAGAGACTCCAAAACCTGGAAAACTCCCCAAAGATGTAAGCAGTTCCACCCCACCCAGTTTCACAGAAAGGAGCAGGGTGGGACTGCTGGTTGGTAGGAAAACCAATGAGTCTGTGAGTGAGCCCAGAAAAGGGTTCATGTATTCCAGAAACATAAATGATAATACTCAGGAGGTAAGATAAAAGCTCTTCATTCCTTTAATATACCTGCTTGTCTGTTCTGTCATTATCATTCTTATCTCTAGGATATAAAGTAAAATTAAAGGATATAAATTACAATTAAACAGTGAATTTATTGAAGGAAATTTTTCTGCTTTTGTGCAAGGTACTTGGATCACAGTAAGCCTATCACATTGTAAACATTCCTGATACAGAACTTGGGGAGTAGATCTTTGGTGGAAAAGTGCTAGAATTTTTTAAAAATATGTACAAAATGGAAAATGTATATAACAAGATATTAAGGTTATTTTTGGAGAAAAGCTTTAAAAGGAAATATTAATAAAAAATAGAAAATGGGAGTGTTGAAAAGCAGGCATTAGAATCCATGTTTTAGGAAAAAGTGTGGTTGAACGGGCTGAAGAACAGCAAGGGTAGTTGGCCTCCTTGACAAAAGGCTTACAGTAATTTGTAGAGTGATTGAAAATTGGAGTGGCTACCTAGAACTTCATGCTAGATAAATTCAGAGTCTAGTTGGTAACATTCTAGATTACACTTCCAAACTCCACCTTGAATGAAAGATGTCAAGAAAAAGTAACTAATTGATGTGCTTTAATAAGAAAAACTTGAGTACTTCAAAGCAGCATGTACCTGTACTAAGTTTGGAATAATCCTACTAATGGTCATAACTGTAGCAACACTGGTAATGAAGTTTCTTCGTAGTGCTATTGTCTATGAATTGTGGGAGTTTGAAATATCCTTACAGAACGTAAAAAACAGGCAGAGAGTTTTTGTTGTTGTTTTGTTTGGTTTTGGAGGGAAGGCTAAATTACATAAAGGAATTTCTCTTCAAATGAAGGTTGTTGCCCAGTTAAATTGTTGAAAACATCTGCCTGCCAAAACAGGTTTGTTTTATTAACCAGCATTGCAAGAAAAATCTGCATAATTTAATATCCTCTCATTGTAGAGCATTATTTTGCCAGGTATGTAGTCAGAACTGAGCTAAGTTTTTGCAAGTAGAATCATTGATGGAAAAGCATGTCTTGGGCTTGTTGAAACCACATAGGATAGCGTTAGTACTGAAATGTATTTCTCAATCCCTAATGAATCCCATGTCAGAATTAAAGCTCATTTCCTTAATAGCTTTATACAATGAGTTAACAGCCTTGTGAATCTTCATTTATCCTCAAGCTGCTTGTACTTGAGGCTTTCTGCCTATGTGACTAATGACCTAACCGCTTGTCTCAAGCAGGCAGAAGGGAGCATAGGACCACAGGGTCACTTCCTCTACATAGCTACAGACAAGTTCCAAAGTACTGAAAACATGTTGATTTTAACTTACATTCGCTTAAAGAAGTACTTTTAGTAAAGAAAGGTTGTGATCAAACTACATTTTCTCTAATGGTAATGGCTTTCAATAATGTTCACTGCTTTGTTTCCTTCAGTGTTTCAATGCATCAAAGCTGCTTATGTCTCATGGTATGAGCATCCAGGTTCCACTGAATGCAACAGAGTTCAGCTATCTCTGCCCAGCCATCATGAATCAAATTGATGCCAGAT